GGGTCTGGGCACCGCTGGCTGGCACTGTGCAGAGGGGCTTGCTCCTCAAGGGAGCCTGGGACCTGGGCCTGGTTGTTCTAAAAGGGAAGACGCCCCTATTCCTGCTCAAGGACTTTCTGTGAGAAATACCACAGGGCAGGGCTGGAAGTGGGGTCCTTTCTGGGGCTCTGTGCACTGGTGGCCTTGAAGGCCTGGTACCAGAAGGAACACACCAGGCAGAGGGACAGCTGCTCCTCCAAAAATTCACTGTCCTCAAAATCCACAGGATGAGGGCATCTTTCAAGGCAAAGTGGGGGTCTTCGTGGATCTTCCTGCATCTTGCACATCCTCCCATTTTCACCATGTTAGCCTTCGGTCACCACAGTGCCAAGTGACTTCCCACAGTCCAAAACTGTCCCTACAGCCTTGGGCCTTGTGTTGCCTTCAAATGGCAAAAAAAAAAAAAAAAAAAAAAATTCAAATGGCAAAAAAAAAAAAAAAAGGAAAAAAAAAAAAAAAAAAAAAAAAAAGAAAAGAAAAGAAAAGAAAAGAAATGAAAGAAAGAAAGAAAAGAAAAGGAAAAAAAATCTAAAACAAAAGCTTCAGCAAGTGATTCAGGATGTGCCATTTCTCTGCCTATTGGCCAGCGCTGGCCCAAATTTCTTCAGAACCTACCCTTTCTCCTTAAGAAAGAGTACAGCTTCCACCCTGGTGGGGAAACTCATAAAGCCCACCATGGACAAAGCTGTCCCTCAACTGCATCTGTCCCAAACAGTCTGGTTGACTACAGTTTTTGAAGTGCTATCCTGTTCTGGTGTTGCCCCCTTTCTCTCTTTCTTTCTCTCTTAGCTAGCCTCAGCTCCTCAGCCATTTCCCCGTCTGGATCTTTCTTCCTTTGCCATTATCTCTGAGCCCCTACCCCTCCTGCAATGGGAGAGAGAGGGTTAAGATGTTCTGCAAATGCAGCTCGTAAAGCTGCTTGGATACATTAGAAACACATGAATATCCTGAAATACAAAGTGTCTTTAAAACCAACCAAGGAATGTTTATCCTAATGCTGGATGGATGCAGAGAAATAGTGCCAGAGAGCAGTGCTGACAGCCTCCTCCAAGTTAAAGTGAGAGCAGGTAAATTTCATTTGCTAGTGAAAATCAAACTCGATTAAAACCCGGTTTCCCTTTGTCCTTTTCTCTTCCAACCCTGGGAACCCAGGGCCTCATAGCTCAGGCTGGCAGCGAGTCCCCACCCCACCCCCAAAAAAAAACCCAGCCACAGTATCTTTCTTCAGCTCCAGAGCAACCAAAGTCCCTCAGGGCACCCCAGCCTGCCCTAGGAGGTCGGAAGCTATGCCTGCCAAGGCACTGGCAAGACAGAGGATCTGGCAGCTCCTGGAACAAAAGCTGCTGCCCTCCAATCTTGCCGTGCTGCCCACTCGGGTCTCCTCTAAAGGAAATCAGGGAGCGCCAGGCAAAGCCCACCTCCACTCCTGCCACCCTCTTGTTCAAGGGGCCACTGCCACCCGCAGATCCCAATGAGTGCCATGGCTTCCCAGCAAAGCCTACAAAGGGTCTGAGGATAAAATTGTCATTGCAGGGATTCAAGTGGAGGCATCTCCCTGCAATGCCACAGGAATTCCTGAGCCTAGTAGACAAAAAAGCAGAGGGACAGCTCAGAGGATGATACCCAACCAGCTTCGAAGGCAAGTGAGTCTTGACCTTGTCTTGGGAAAAGAGGAAGAACACTGGGAGAGTCTGTGCTTGCTTCCCAGAGCACTCTCCAGTTCTTCACTGCCTTCCAACCTTTCTTTTTCCACAGCAAGCAGGTTTGGTGGCTGCCTGGAGGGCTAAGAGGCTAAGAAACCATATTGGGAACCTCCAGTGGATGTCTTAGGTCTCTCAGCAATGGACAAGAAGGGAGAGAAAGAGGTTTACTTCAAAGCAAGGAGAAATTCTAGAAACCCAAAATTATTCATGGAGTTCATTCAAATTCTATAAACTATCCCCACTGGTGGCTACAACTCAATATCTAAAGGGACCCGCAGACTTTTAAAAGCAGTGACGGCACACCAGGACACCACTAACTTGCCTGGTAGAAAAATCACTTTGTGTATATTGAGATCCAAGACAAGAAGAGAACAGGCAGGGCTGCCTCCCTCTAAGTAGGGAGTTTTTAAACATCTCGAGAGTTTTTAAAATTTGATAGAGAGATATTCGGAACTAAGAAAATATCCCAATAACTTGATCACGAAAGATCCACCACAAATCTCAATAAATAATTCAGGCCTGAAGCCCTTCCTTTGCGGGGTTACCAAGTTTAGGAAGCAAGGCTTAATTCGAGATGCAATCCAAAGCCTTCCCCCCAGTGCCGTCCCTCCCAGACAAACCTTCTTGGGGCTCCTCAGCAGACAAGATGAAATCTTGTCTCACCATTTTTGGTGAGGAGGGACCTAGCTGGCTCTGGCAGTCTGTGGAGCTGGGGCCTTTCCTCTGCATGCAGGGCTCGGTCTCCGGTGAAGTGGGGAGAGTGAGGGAGGAATGTGGAGCTGGCCTTGGCCGCGGTGTGCACCGGGAGGCAGCTGCACCATGGCCAGAGGTGAGCTGGCACAGGCGCTGGCTGGTGGGGTCTCCCCGAGCTGTGTTTTCGTTTTTCCGGGTCTGGCTGGAAAACAGAAGAGGAACGAAGCCTGGGCCAAGAGCAGGGCGGAGGCAGAGAAGAGTCTGTAAACACCGCCCCAAAAACTCCACAAAGGCAGCAGAAATTGCTGGGTAACCAAACAGAGACAGAAACAGGAGGAATTCTAGAGGAAAAGGGAATCAAGAGTGAGGGGAGGTGGACAGTGGGCCTTTAGGAGCTGCCTGGGGCTCCAGGCTTGCATGGCAGTTCTCAAGATGGCTAGACTGCAACTTTCAACTTGACCTTGGCCTCCAGCCCTGTCTGACCTGTATGTAAAACAGCCCTTAAGTCCTCAGGAACTGGGGCCTCAAACCCTACCCTGTCTCTTTGTCATCATGAGTTTTACAATGCCACTTGGAGGAAGGAAGGGGGGCGAACGGGCCGGAAAGTAACACAAAAATCAGGTCCCTACAGAGGCTGGTTCTTTAGTCTGCAAATGGCCAGTTAGGGAGGAGGTAAACCGGGGGCAAATCAATATTTACCCGGAGCTACTAAAAAGGCAGGAGGGAAAGGGCACACTGGGTATGTGTATGGCGGGGGGGGTGGGGGGCGGGTCATGGAAGGTTTTATTGGGCAACACTTACATTGGTCCGGGCAAACCTGGGATTAGGGTGGATAAAAGCCGGACGGAGCCCAGCCTCGTTGGTCCGCACACTTTGGGAAGACCAGGAACCTTAGAGAGCAGACCAGGGCGGGGGTAAGGGGTGGGGATATTCGCAGTGCCCTGATCTGAGGGCTGAGTCTGCAAGCTGAGACAGAAGACAGGTCCAAGCCTGGCTGCTCACCAGTCTGCCCGGGATGGAAGGGAGTCCAGCACTCTTCCATACTCTGATGCTCTGGTGGAATGCACTCATGTTCACTTTGAATGCATGTTCCCTTTCTGGGCATCTGACCAGCTCACAGCATCCACAATCGGAGGTGAAAGTATGTGACCGAAAGCGACAGGACCCCCAGAATCCCTCTCCAAAATATGGCAGCTGCTTGCCTCTTCCAGCACCAACACCCCACTGTGCTCTCAGGAAAGGGTCGCATTTCCCAGGCACAGAGGAAAAAATGCTTCTCGAGCTGGTTCATGGCCAGAGGAGAACCGGGCACCCGCTGCAGGCTGGAGACAATGCTCTCCCCAGTCCTACTTGGCGGGGCGTGGGGGAGGTGTGAAGTGGTCCCAAAGAGTCCCTTTCTCCTGTCCCCAAACGGAGTGCAATAGAGAGTGCCCAGGTGCCTGGAGAGTCAGCTCCGGCCCAGGCTCTGTGAAGCCTCGTTAAAGCCCCAGAAGGGGGGCTCGAGTCCCAGCTCAGCACCCAGCTGGGGCCTGTTCCTCTTAACCTTCCAAGACAGGCCAGCCTGGCTGGAGATGTGGGAGCACTGAATAACGGTGCACAAAGATCGCTCTCTCCATCTCAAAGTCTCTGGAGGAGGAAGAGTTGTTACTGGGACAAAGTGAGGAACAGTCCGTATATAAAAGTGTGAGTGTGTGATCAGAGTACACTTGGGTTTGCGTGTGTGCGCGCGTGTCCGTGTGGGTGTGATGGGTCGTTCTGAGCATATGGGCCTAAATACGAGTGTAGGAGATTGCCCACCAACACTGTGGACAAAGAAGGGGAGGAAGCTTCTACATGTAGTCCAAGTTTTCCAGTGGGATGTCCTGGGACCCATAAGCCAGGCGCATCCACAAACGCCCCGCCACGGTTCCCCCGGAAAGAGAGCCAAATCGCGACGCTGTCGAAGCAGAAAGCGCAAGTGTCCGTGCTGGTGTCCCGCTGCAGAAGGAGGCGCGGATACCTGGAAAGAAAACAGCGCCAGAGGCCCCAAGAAACACCCAGCCTGGTCTACGCCTCGCTACTTTACCGTCCCCAGGCGTCCGCAGATTTACCTGACCCGTTCCCACCGCCTCAGGTCACAACCCAACATCTCGCCCCATACCCTCCCCGCCTTACGCTGCTCCGAGCCCCACTGGGAGAGGGGAAGGGAAGGGGAGTGCTAGGAGTTCGCTCTTCCCTCCCGGTCCCGCCCGCCCTGTCCTCCGCCCCTACCCTTCCGCACCCCCCGCCTCTCCCTTGGGTGAATGGTGCGCGGCCGCGCGGCGGGCGCGGGCGCTGGGGACCTCGCGGGCGGCGGCAGGGACTGCGGGTGTACAGAGAGGAGCCCGGGTTGGAGCCGCCCGCTTTGCATACGCCATGGGCGGAGCGGGGAGGGGGGGCCCGGGCCAATGGGCGGCCGCCTGGCGCGACCCCGCGGGGCGCGATCCGCCCCCCTCGCTCTGGCCCCGGCCCCGCGCCGCGCGCGCTTCACTTCTTGGGGGCTTTTTAAAACAGCGCCACTGGGGTCTTCTCCATGCGGCTCGTGCTATGACAGCCTCCGTGCTCCTCCACCCCCGCTGGATCGAGCCCACCGTCATGTTTCTCTACGACAACGGCGGCGGCCTGGTGGCCGACGAACTCAACAAGAACATGGAAGGGGCGGCGGCGGCGGCGGCGTCGTCCTCGGGAGGACCGGGCCCCGCGGGCCCAGCGGGCGCCGAGACCGCCAAGCAGTGCAGTCCCTGCTCGGCGGCGGCGCAGAGCTCGTCGGGGCCCGCAGCGCTGCCCTACGGCTATTTCGGCAGCGGCTACTACCCTTGCGCCCGCATGGGCCCGCACCCCAACGCCATCAAGTCGTGCGCGCAGCCCGCCTCGGCCGCCGCCGCTGCCTTCGCGGACAAGTACATGGACACCGCTGGCCCCGCGGCCGAGGAGTTCAGCTCACGCGCTAAGGAGTTCGCCTTCTACCACCAGGGCTATGCGCCCGGGCCTTACCACCACCATCAGCCCGTGCCTGGCTACCTGGATATGCCGGTGGTGCCGGGCCTCGGGGGCCCCGGAGAGTCGCGCCACGAGCCCCTGGGTCTTCCCATGGAAAGCTACCAGCCCTGGGCGCTGCCCAACGGCTGGAACGGCCAAATGTACTGCCCCAAAGAGCAGGCACAGCCTCCCCACCTCTGGAAATCCACTCTGCCCGGTAAATGGCGCCCCTTTCTCAGTCCCGGTCCTCCGGTTCTGCCCCAGATTCTCCTCCGCTCGCTCCTGGGTCACCCTCGTGCCCCTCTGCTCTCTCCCTGGCCTGTCCTAGTGGTGCTGCACCCCTGGGAGCCCGATCCCGGATGGCCTGCCCTGCCCGCACTGCTCTTGAGTTGGGCTGGTCCTGGCTTTCCCTGGGTGAGGGATAGCTGAGGAGAAGCTTGTGGGGACCCTAGCTGGCTTCCTTCTCCCTCTGCGCCCCGCCCTCGCCAGCCCTTGACATCGACTTAAGTAAGGATGGGAAATGGACCTGGAAATGGTTCACCAAATTGCCCGTATTCGTTCTCTCAAAAATCCTTCAGTGCAGAAACATCAAGTGTTGGGGCTTTGGGGATACAGCGAGGAATGTGGGCGTAGAAGTGTTGTCCCCTGAGCCTGGTGCTAACGTTTGGGCCAGGAGATCAAGCAAAGCCCGCTGCTGTGTGGGCAGAGTGGCCTGGGCTGGAGTGGTCATTGGATCCCTGGGCGATTTCATTTCAGTGCAGAACTAACCACCCTCCCCACTGGCCCTCCAGATTTTGGCAGAAAGGCTGGATTGTACAGCATGGCAAAGGGCAGCCGGGCACTGCAAGGCGGTGTCTCAGATAGAGCTGTTGCCTGTGTCCTGGCCTGGATCTGACCCTTCTGTAACTTGCCTTCCCTATTTTCCAGATGTGGTCTCTCATCCCTCAGACGCCAGCTCCTACAGGAGGGGGAGAAAGAAGCGCGTCCCTTACACCAAGGTGCAATTAAAAGAACTCGAACGGGAATACGCTACAAACAAATTCATTACCAAGGACAAACGGAGGCGGATATCAGCCACCACGAATCTCTCCGAGCGGCAGGTTACAATCTGGTTCCAGAACAGGAGGGTCAAAGAGAAAAAAGTTATCAACAAACTGAAGACCACTAGTTAATGGATTAAAAGTGGAGCTAGAGGGCAACTTGAAGAAATGCTTCAGAACTCGTTGCTTTGTGCAGATGATTATAATGCTAATAATAATTGAAGAATGGGAAAGAGAAAGATACTGGCATTTTGCTTTCCTAAGGGGGATCTTCTTCTCCTGTGGAATCTACAACTCTTTTAAAACTTTACTTTAAGAAATGGTAAAGACTGCCAGTTCTCCCGCCGACCCCACCAGACCATTTAAATGAAAAACTCTAGAGTCAAACATCAACCCCGAAATACGCAATTTCAGATAAGTTACACATTTACTGAAATCTTGTAAGTATTTATGTGACCGTTATATTTTAGGACACTATGTTATATGATAATAATCCGAAAGTTTGTTACAAATGCAAGAGGCTGTTGTAAACGTATGCTTGTCCTTGGGTCACCATCACCATCCCCTTTGCATGTTACGTGACTGCTCAGGTAAATCTTAGTGAAAGTCCTACCATTGTTGTATATTCTGCAAAACATGTCATGTATAGATTTAGAAAGGAAAGGAGAAGAAGGTACTGAAATAATGATCTTGGACTATTTACTATGAAGGGGCAAAGGGAGAGAAAGCTCTT